TTACAAGTCTTCAAAAGTTGTAGTAATTAACGTGTTAATATTACAAAATGCAATTCTAACATTATAGTACATCGACTGAACAAACTATAGGCGAAACAAAACACTCATTAGCGAGCTTAGCATGCCACGACCGGGTTCGAAAGATCTTCATTTCGATACACAGTATTCTCAGCCTTTCGTCATTCAATGCATTGCTTGCTTATGGAAGCAACATTGGTCGTATTGGCGCAATCCCCTTTACTCGGCTGTAAGAATTTTGTACACAGCCTTCCTCGCCCTTATGTTCGGATCTATGTTTTGGGACTTAGGCTCGAAAAGGTACAAAAATATTTGTTATAGGTGTTTCAAATTTTTTAAATGGACATAGAATTCGTTCAATTATAAGATCGAAATGAAGCAACAAACTTTCGAAAGACTTTCAAGGTTTCTTGGGCTTTCCATGTCCGTGTCGATTGTTTACTACCTATGCGATCATTGTTCCTTACTAACATGGACATTTGTAGGAACACTCAACAAAACATTTTCAATGCCATGGGTTCGATGTATGCTTCCGTGTTCTTTCTTGGCGTGCAAATCGCTTCATCGGTGCAGCCGGTGGTCTCTGTTGAACGAACGGTATTTTACCGCGAACGAGCAGCCGGGCTATACTCCGCTCTACCGTATGCATTCGGACAGGTTATCTATTGTCTTTTATGATTCGATATGTTTTTACTCCCTCCTTCCACCAAATTATGTACGTATTTCCTTTTTTTTACTATCCACTAAACTTATATACTCCCTCCGTCTACTAAATTTATTACTATTTTTTTTTTAGTCCATCCGCTAAATTTGTCATATTGCTAATTTTGGCAAAGTCAACTAATCAATATTTAATTTTTACCCTTCATTCAACACTTATTTACAACAAACACTCAACTAAATCTTTATTTTTATCATATTTTTAATAAAATATTTATTTTTCTTAATCTCCGTGTCGGTCCAAAATGTGTTAATTTTCATGGACGGAGAAAGTACTTTTTATTTATAATAATACTTAATCTACTTAAAATACTACTATGCTTCTTTTAGCTTGCAAATAATAATTTTGTCGCTAAAAAATACTCACTTATATCACTCATTTAATAAACTTTTCAAAATACTTACTTAGTTTTTACCTATTCCATTTTTATAATAAAATATTATTATTATTGGTCATATATATTTACATAATTTTCATGGACCGAGATTTGATTGTTAAGATCGGTTTTCTTTGATTTTTTTAGGCGGTAATCGAGGTTCCTTACGCATTCGCTCAAGCGATCATATACGGAACGATTGTGTATGCTATGATAGGATTCGAATGGACCGCGGGAAAATACTTTTGGTATATATTCTTCATGTTCTTCACTCTATTGTACTTCATTTTCTACGGAATGATGGCTGTTGCCGTGACGCCCAATCCTCACATCGCCAACATAATATCCTACTCGTTTTATGCCTTGTGGAATCTCTTTTCCGGCTTCCTAATTTCTCGGCCGGTGAGTTTACAATAGTAGTCAATCCTATGCATGTTTTTTTTTTCGACAAGATTATATAGATAAGTCATTTTTTATACGATTTTTTTTTCTTTCTTTTTAATATATATAGCGAACGCCGGTGTGGTGGAGATGGTTCCATTGGGTGAATCCGGTGGCGTGGTCATTGTACGGTTTAGTTGCATCGCAATTTGGGGACATAACTGATGAGTTGGAAGACACGAAGGAACCGGTTCAATGCTTCCTCAATAGCTACTTCGGATTCAAACACGATTTCGTGGGCGTCGTGGCTGCCGTCATCATCGGATTTGGGCTTGCCTTCGGTTCGATGTTTGCATTCTCAATCAAGGCCTTTAATTTCCAAAGGCGATAGTAATTATCAGGCCGTCTCGGATTTTTTCAGGGTTATGAGCAAAAAATAAATGATAGGCCCTATAAACAATTTTTTTTTTCAAAATACTATAAACGACAAATATACTAATAAATTCCAAAAAAGCAAAAATTATATTAATCATATATACAATAAATGAAATATACGTGTTCCGTAAATGATGACGTGCTGGTGTGGGGTAAACTGACCTTGATAGATATATTGATTATTATAAAATTTGACAATATCTTGATTATTATAAAATCAATAACTCAATAATAATAATTACAAATTCTTAATGCATGGAATATACAATTATTTTAGAAAAGATATTGTTAGAGTTTATTAGAATTATAATTGGTTTGTGTAATTGTAGAGAAAAATATGATATAAAATTTAAATTAAATTTTAATATATATAATAATAATAATTGGTTTTTAAAATATTTATGAATTCTAAAGGTAAAGACATGGAAGGTGGAATTAATTTTAGAAAATTTTTGTTATAATTTAATTTTATAATTAAACTTAGATCGGGTAATTATTGAAAAAAATATAAAATAAAATATTAATTAAATTTTAATATATGTAATAGTAATGGACTAAAATTTAAAAACATGAGCTCTCTTGACTAATAAATATCCATATGGTATTAGTAGAAGATATCATAGACTCATAGTGCAACTATATAACTTATGGATGAAAATTTTTCTAATCCATCCCTATTTAACTTGGTAGAATAGTGAACAAAAGAGAGAGAGAGGTGAAGAAGATTAATTAATAAATGTTCACTACCATAAATTTGATGATTCTCTTCAGAAAATTGATTTGGATATTGAATTGCTTCCGAGACAAAATTTGAAAAACTTCAGAATTTGCTTCCGAATAATATCCTGAGAGAAAAACTAATTGTTGGGATTCGGAATTTTCAAAGCTATATTAAATTGTGTCGAAATTTTCGAGACCAAATTTGAATAAGCCCACTGTCGGGCGCGTGATCAGTGCAAAGTTCAAAGACTATCGGAATTTCCGAAGCAATTTTTATTGGGAAATGGTGGATCGACAAATCTGCTTCGAACACCTTAAATAGGGCCAACTTCCATTGAAGCTCAGTTAACTCACGTAACAACAGCTCACTGACAGCACTATAAATACTTGAGCAGAAAAGCAATAAATGAGCCAAATATTTGTTAACCCAGTTCCGTTATAACAAACTACATTTGGGGATCTCAATTCAGGAGATACTCCACTATAATCAATACTGAAATTAGTACATAACAACCTTAAACTCATTTAACCCATATCCTCCATAAAGGCTTACCTTGCATTCAATGCACAGGTAGTGGAAGTCACAAACACCAGTGTATACAACAAACCTGAGTAATGCAGTCAACAAGCTGATTGTCATCTCCTTTGGATCTCCGAGAACTCCTTTCTCCGGCAACTTCTTCGGTGGGTTTTGTGTATCAAACACAGGTGAAAATCATGGAGATAAGAAGGGACTCGAATGAGAGGTTCTACAATAATTTCTCTTTTAAGGATAATCTCTCAAATGTGCTCTCTCACTAAACAGAAGGTGTCCTATGTTGTGTATGCAGCAGCCTGATTTGATTGTAAATTAAACAACAATTAATTCTTTTTGCACATAAATGAAATGGGACGATTCTCAAGATAAATCTGACATTCCTTTGACTATCCTCATTCTATCAAACTTGTCTTCATGTCTTGTATGGATATATACACATATGAGACAAAATGGATAAGACAACATAAATAAACAGCTGTTGCAGGTGAGAGTATGCCCTGCGGTCTATGTTTATCTGGAACTAGAGCTGTTAAACGAACCGAGCTGTTCGTGAACTCGGCTCGATTTGGCTCGGTTAAAGCTCGTTCACGAACGTTAACGAGCCGAACCGAACAACATAAACAAACTCGTTTGGTTAACAAACAAGCCCGAACTTTGTTCGCGAACGTTCGGGAATATTCGTTTAAATAATATATTTATTATAAATATTATATATACATATAAAATTATAATTTATAAATAAATATAATATTAATTTAAAATATATAAATAAAATAATTTTAAATTTTCTTTATAATTTATATATAAATTTTAAAAAATAAGACAAACGAGCTCGAACAAACTCGAACGAGCTTAATCGAGCCTAAACGAGCCGAACACGAACACGAGCTCAAACAACAAAAATTCTTAACGAGCCGAGCTCAAACACTACGAACGAGCTCGAAAGCTTAACGAACAAGTCCGAGCTTTGTTCGCGAACGTTAACGAACACTTAAAATTTGGCTCGACTCGGCTCGAGTCGGATCGTTAACAGCTCTATCTGCAACAATAGAATGTAACATGTTGTTTTTGGTATCCGACGATAATGGGCTGTGCAGAAAATCATTTGTCTATATGCCAAAAGTAGAAATATGAGGATTTTTTCATTTAACAATTTTCAAAATATTTTAAAAAAAATTAATTCAAAATTAGATCACCTGAGGAATTTTCCGGCGACTTCAAATCAGAATTTATACTTTTTATCTTTAAAAAAAAAAAATTAAAAAACCCAACAACTAGTGGCGTTTGTGGTGCTGTGCTGGCAAACGTCTCAGGGACGGCAGCAACATCTCAACGGCTCAGACAATCAATTTGAACATTTTAATTTATTAAAATATAGATTGTATGCAAATATTTTAATTACTTTCAATATTATTTTATGAATAACGTCAAAGTAATATTTTGCTAAATTTAAATTTTTATAATTAAAATTATAAAAAAATTATTTAGATCATTTCATATCTTAACAAATATGATATTTATATTATTTTTTTGTTAAAAAATTAATATTTAAGAGTCTTTAATATTATTATTATTATTAGTATTATAAATTTACAAACATTAATATTTAATATTCTCTCTATCGACTCCAATGTCTCATTTACTTTTGCGTTATTGTAATTAACATTAAAAATATCGTTATATTTATATATTTTTTGCACAAATATCATTATAATAGTATTATAAATGATAAAAATATTTTTGTTATTTTTTCTAAATTTGTACTAAGTTTTCATATAATAATTAATATTTAAATATGAGTACGTAAAAAATAAATGGGAAGAGCTACACGACTCGTCACTTACTACACTAAATATGAGAAGCACCCAACCTACATCGAACATAATAACAAGTACTATATATTATCGCCTTTGGAAATTGAATGCCTTGATCGAGAATGCAAACATCGAACCGAAGGTAAGCCCGAGGCCGACAACAACGGCAGCCACAACGCCGACGAAATCATGTCTGAACCCGAAGTAGCTATTCAGGAAGTGTCGAACCGGTTCCTTCGTGTCTTCCAACTCATCAGTTATGTCCCCAAATTGCGAGGCAACTAATCCGTACAATGTCCACGCAACCGGATTCACCCAATGGAACCATCTCCACCACACCGGCGTTCGCTATATATTAAAAAAAAAAAAAAAAAAAAAAAAAAAACTTGTATTGAAAAATGACTTATATGTATATAATCTTGTCTAAAAACATGCATAGGATCGAGTAGTATTGTAAACTCACCGGCCGAGGAATTAGGAAGCCGGAAAAGAGGTTCCACAAGGCGTAAAACGAGTAGGATATTATGTTGGCGATGTGAGGATTGGGCGTCACGGCGACAGCCATCATGCCGTAGAAAATGAAGTACAATAGAGTGAAGAACATGAAGAATATATACCAAAAGTATTTTTCCGCGGTCCATTCGAATCCTATCATAGCATACACGATCGTTCCGTATATGGTCGCTTGAGCGAATGCGTAAGGAACCTCGATCATCGCCTAAAATAAAATCGAAAAAAAAAAAAAAAAAACTTGACAATCAAATCTTCCCTTCCAATGAAAAATTTAAAACATATCGAATCATAAAGGACAATAAATTACCTGTCCGAATGCATACGGTAGAGCGGAGTATAGCCCGGCTGCTCGTTCGCGATAAAACACTGTCCGTTCAACAGAGACCACCGGCTGCACCGATGAAGCAATTTGCACGCCAAGAAAGAACACGGAAGCGTACATCGAACCCATGGCATTGAAAATGCTTTGTTGAGTATTCCTACAAATGTACATGTTAGAAAGGAACAATCATCGCATAGGTAGTAAACAATAGTAAACAATCGACACGGACATGGAAAGAAAGTCTTTCGAAAGTTTGTTGCTTCATTTCGACCTTATAATTGAACGAATGCTACGGCCATTTCAAAATTTTGAAACACCTATAAGAAATATTTTTGTACCTTTTCGAGCCTAAGTCCCAAAACATAGATCCGAACATGAGGGCGAGGAATGCCGTGTACAAAATTCTTACAGCCGAGTAAAGAGGATTGCGCCAATACGACCAATATTGCTTCCATAAGCAAGCAATGCATTGGATGGCAAAAGGCTGAGAATACTGTGTATCAAAATGAAGGTCTTTCGAACCCGGCCGTGGAATGCTAAGCTCGCTAATGAGCGCTTTGTTTCGCCTATAGTTTGTTCATAAAATGAACTATAATGTTAGAATTACATGTGTTACTACTAACACGTTAATCGCTACAACTTTTGAAGACTTTTAAGTCCATGAATAAACACTGACCTGTAAAGTTCCGAGTTCTTGTATAGTTCATTGAAGTCGATACCCGAAATCATCTCTTGAGCCGAAGACGTTACCTCCAACATCCATGTCGCCGGATTGTAGCCATCCCTAATTTTCGCAACGCCTTCGAAACCCTATGTCCAAAGAAATAATCATGTTATGTACAAATCTACTAAGAAAAAAAAGTACTTACATTTCTCTACGACATTGTAAGCCTTCTCGATTTTACCTCGAAGTATTGTATGAGATTGCAAGAAAGTCGGCCGAGAGGCCCTACGTATATCTCTTGTCCGCCTCGCTTCATCAAAAATAGCTGCGGACCAAAACAAACTACCCATCAAATTAATAAATAAAAAAACTTAAGCTTTAAGGATACGCATCATCTATTTATTTACACGGAGTCAACTAACGCAGTGTCTCACATGTAAGGTAGATATATGCTATGAATCTTACATGTCTCGGCTCTGATAGCATGTTAAATAACCGTCTCACCTAAAAGTATCATTTAACATGGTATCAGGGCCGAAACTTCCAATGTCTGAATCCCACCATCACATATTTGTCATCATTCAGGTGCAAAATTATTAAACGTGGCTAAAACTTAAATTTTTAAGTCAGATGGACAAAACAATCATGGGGTAATATATACTATCATAAGAGATTCAATTTACGGAACTAAAATAATTTTTTCTTTGTTTTTTTGTCTTAACCATGTGTGACTTGCCTCGTCGAAAGATTCGAAGATGTCGATACTAGGCTGATGGATGGTGCACACGACTGTCCGTCCGGTGTCCACCGTGTTCCTCACCGTCCTCATTACAATCGCCGCAGCTCTAGCGTCCAAACCCGAAGTCGGTTCATCCATAAATATTATAGACGGATTCGCCACTAGCTCGACCGCTATGGTTAGCCTCTTCCGTTGCTCTGTCGAAAGACCGTTAACCCCTGGCAGCCCGACTAGTCCGTCTCTTACCGCATTCAATTCGACGAGCTCCATCACATTCTCGACAAATGCCTGAAAAATGTTGGAATCAAATGAGAGTAATTACAACAAAAACAGAGGGGGACATATTCAACTTGTAATAAAAATGAGCGAACCTTCCGTGTGTCTGAATTTATTTCCGGCGACAAACGTAACCAAGCCGAGAAAACCAAGGATTCGTACACTGTCACACAAGGCGAATGAATGTCGTTTTGCTCGCAGTATCCGGAAATTCGAGCAAAAGTTTCTTGCTTCTTCGGATATCCCGAGATCATGATGTTCCCATCGATATATCCACCCGTTTTTCGACCCGCCAAAACATCCATAAGCGTAGTTTTACCCGCCCCGCTAACTCCCATTAGAGCGGTAAGAACTCCCGGCCGGAAAGCCCCGCTTACACCCTTCAACAACACCAGTTTATCCTCAGTAGCACCTTGATTTCTCATTTCCTACATGATGGATCATCTTGTTAGTCATTTCAATGTCCTAACAATGTCGAACTTTGCTAATAATGAGATGAATAATCACTACAAAAAAATATCATTTTTGTAACGAGGTTTTTTCGTCACTAAATCCACTTTTTTCGTTACTAATTACATTAGAGACGGAATTAGGAATGAAATTACATAGCAGCATACACTTTAGGGACATAATTTCGCAACAAATATACTACTCCCTCCGTACGGCTCTAAAGGTCTCATTTACCTTTTACTAGTTAACATTAAAAATCAATTTATATTTGTATAATTTTTTTGCACAAATATTGTCCTAATAATAGTATTATAAAATACTAATAGAAGTATTTTTTGTCATTTTATCTTAAATTATACTACGTTTTCATATAATAATTAATATTTAAAAATTAATACGCAAAAAGTAAATGGGACTATCCGAGCTGGACGGAGGTAGTATTGTTTATTTTATTTTTTGTAGTGAATGTATTGAGAGTTCAGTGTCACCTGTGGCATGTCGACCGAGTACAAAACCTCGTCGAAGGTTATGGAGTGTGGTTCAAATGGAAGTACTACATCCCTTTTCCCCCTTCTCTCGTCCCTCCCTAATTTTGATCGACTGTGAATATTTTCTTATTGAAAAAATAAAATTAAATTGAATTTTTTGGGATAGGTTTTCATGGTAAGTTACCGTCATTTTCAGTAACAGAAATATTTTCGTTTGTTCGGTCTTCTTGAAGCACGGCTTGAGGCTTTCCAAGAGCTGCATTGTCGTTGAGAAAAGTATTGGTTAAAAAAGAATCGAACATCTTGCTAAAAAATGGAATAACCGGGAAGAACTCCTGAGAAAAACAAGTTGTTTTGTTTGTTTGGAGTACTTCTACATACTTTTATTATTCATCAATTTATTTTTTTTATAATTTTTAGGGTAAACTGTTTTTAGTCCCGTAACTGGACCCTTTATCATTTTAATCCCGTAAGTAGACCCTCTCGCAAACTAGTCCCATAAGTGAAAAATTTTCGTTGTTTTAGTCCTCCGGCGCCGGAGATGCCCGCGTAGCTCGTCGGAGGTGATGTGTCAATCAGGTATCGCTGACCTGGCGGACACGTGGGTTTTTTATTTTTTTTTTCATTTTTTAAAATTTTTATTAAAACTTATTTTTAATTTATTTTAAATTTTATTTGTATTTTTTTTATTTTTTTTAATTTGGTTCAATTAAAAAAATTAAAAAATTAAAAAAAATAAAAAATAAATAAATAAATCCACGTGTCCGCCAGGTGTAGCTGACCTAGCGGGTCACCTGGCGGACACGTCACCTTCGGCGAGCCACGCGGGCATCTCCGGCGCCGGATGATTAAAACAGCGAAATTTTTTCACTTATGGAACTAGTTTGCGACATGTTTCACTTACAGGACTAAAATGATAAGGAGGTCAGTTACGGACTAAAAAACAGTTTACCCTAATTTTTATTATATCAAAAATTAATTTTAATTAGGACAAATATTATTCATCTCTTTTTTCGAACATCTCTTCCAAAGATGTTTGAGAGATTCCTATTTTTTAAATGATATGTATATGATATCAAGAGTATGTTATAAATGTGTATATATATTATATTTTGCAATCTATTTTAAGTGTGATTATATTTTAATTTTATAATATTTTTATTATCACTAAAATTTTATATTCTACAAAATAATTCTAATATTAAATATATTTTTGTTAATTAAAAATGTAAATAATATTTTCAAAATTAGTAATAAATTAAATTTTAATAAAAATTGATATGAATTTGTTACTAATTAATTGTAAAATCAGTAAAATAATAAGATTTTTTTAAAATAATATATATATATATAATAATAATAATATGGAAATAAAAATAAATAAAATATTTAGATGAATTTCTTTGTTATTGGTATAAAATTAAAAAGAAAACCGACCAATCATCTACAGTTTTATGTATTTAAACTTTTTATTTTATTATTTTAAAAGTATACTATGACTGAATAAGAGAGAGAATTATGTGAAAAGTAAAACGCACTAGAGATACTCCGACCTTGATTTGTCCATCTATATTCATGTCCCTTAATTTGTCCATTAATTTTATTTTAGTTCGTCCACATTATTTGTTTTTTTTTTTTTGAAATATAACTGGACACTTTATTCGTATTTTAAAATTTATAATTTATAATTTTTTTATTTTATTTAAACTATTTAGTCAATCTTGACGTTAATCTATAATTATTTTTACTAAATCATAATTATTTTTAATAATATACTTCTTAATCATTTACTGATTACCTAAAAATTCGATGCCTATGCTAAATAGGACAATTTAGCCGGTAAAAAAGGAGTATCTTTTTAGCGAGAGTAAACTTTTTTGCTAAAGCTTATATAAAACGAAAACAATATTGAAAACAAAGTAATCAAAGATACGTGACTCGGTACTCACGATTCAAGTATGTCAAGGCAACAGCGCATAAGACGTTGAATAGAAGCATCATCCCGAGCGAGACTCCTATTCCGATCCAATACCACTGCGAGCCCGCGAAGTATCCTTGAAGCTTCAAGATCTCGACTCCAATCGAGACGTTTGAGTTTGGCAAAACCTTTTCCAGAACCAAAAACAAATTAACTTGCGAGCATTCGAAAAATGCGAGTAAGCTAATTCGCGATGAAATTAATTTTTATTGCTAAATGATACGTTTTAACTGCAAAAATATTTTGTAGTTAAAAATATTGTAGCTAATCAAACACTTTTTTGGTAGTGTAGCGAACATGAGCTCTCGACTTACACGTCTCCAACTATGCCCTCTAAACTCGTTCACGCCGATGGCATTCGAAGAATACATCATCGGCGAGATGTAATAGCCCCATATCCACCACTTCTTCACATTATCTACGACGTAGAAAACTCATCAATAACGGAATTTAACCGAAAAGAATTAAAAATCCATCGTATCGTTCATTACCTCGCGATAGAACAAACCCGCTCAACGCGAACACAAGGAGAAGTATAAAGAACCCGTATGTGTTCGCCACAATCATGTTCCTACCCGTTGCCCCGATAAATCGAAACAACGAAGACATTGCTTGGATTTGAATCAAGAGCACCAAATAATACTTCACGAATCTATCGGATACCCAAAAAAAAAAAAAATGTCGAAATCGAGTATGAGTTATAGAAAGTCACAATCGCGAAATCGAGCACATTATTTACCTTCCGAAGTTTGGATCGAATCCAATCTCGTAATAAGTGAGTATCGTAAAGACTCCAATCTCAACTACGCTAACCGGGATACTTGCTAACCACGTAGGAATAGCGTAAACCCAAGCGGGGAAAAAATGAAAGTTCCGTTGCTTGTAAAAGACCGGAAGCTTCTGGACTATCATCGCTATTTCAGCCATGCCGTTGAATGTGACAGTCGTGACAGCATAGAACAGAGCGCCTAAGTATATCCGGCCATCCGTCAAAGTGTCACGGTGCATCTTTACGCGTAGAAAGACTGTCATAGCTATGACAGCCATAATAGCAAGCTAGATGAAGATTCAAAGAGATCGAAAGATGTGAGTAAACTTACAACGATGTAATAAGAAGATAGAATCGAGGGCGTAGTTAATGAAGATGTAATAAGACCTGTACGAGCTTAAAGGTGTAGAGGAACGAGTTTCGCTTCATAAGCAAGATTTCTCGCGACGCGCAAGCTTTCAAGAGCTCCTTTGTCGAGACACCGTATTCCTTAGTTGTAAGAGCGGCCGGATGGCTTTTTGTCCGGTCGAATGGGGTGGATAGCTCCGTCATTAGTCTCCTCCCAACGTGGAATGACCTGAACGCCTCCACGAATTGTTCGACTGAAATGTACCTATACGGCTTGTCGCGATCAGCCCAATACTGCTGCTGGTCTTTCCTCGAGGTTACCTGCATCAAACAAACTTATTGACCGATGAACATAAGGTTGAGATAAATTTATGGTTCGATTGTTGTTTTTAAGAATGTCTACTTCTTGCAAGAAGTCGGCCACGCCTTTTCTTTCGGGGCATTTGAATCCCATGTTCAGGAAAAACTCGAGCACATGCTCGCGCGCACCCTGGTAGACTATTTTTCCTTCGGATATCATAATTAGGTCATCGAATAGCTCGAAAGTCTCGGGTTCTGGCTGAAGTAGCGAAACGAGCACCGTCGCTTTGAGGATATGGTTCGACTGCCGGATGGAGTTCACCACTTGGAACGTCGTCGAACTGTCGAGCCCTGTCGATATTTCGTCCATGAAAAGCGCCTTCGCCGGTCCGACCAACATCTCCCCTGAAAATTTCCTGACCATTATGTACAATTATTTGCAAACAAATATCCAGGCATAAGTATCTCAGATTCAGCAATGTGTTGAATACCACACACGTAGCTAACAAACAGCACACCGTAATGTTAATGATCATTTATATTAATATAATACAAACTTAGTACATGAACTAACAGGACATACTATAGTCTCACACAGCACATGCAGTAGTTCATTTCAACACATGACATATACTTATATAACAACCCGTTGTAATTATAAACAAACAGCACAAATCATTATTACAAACAGCACGTGTTGTCTCTAATAAAAATTTGTGATTTTTCAGTATTTTATGGGTACTGATTTGGAAATTTAGCAAATCAGCACGATAACCTTCCCCTATAAAAAAATAAGCATAAGTTTCGCGGAAGGAGTATTTAACATGCACAACTAATGTTTCACCTGTCGTAACGCGTTTGCGCTGCCCTCCGGAGATCCCTCGGACCATCTCGTCGCCGACCAAAGTGTCGGCGCAGATGTCCAATCCCAATATCTGCAATCAATCGCGCCAAGACAAAAAACATTAGTATCGATTCCATCCTTACATCGCAAGTCCTAGACATCATTAAAACATCGTCGCGCAAAACCTTAAGCACGTAGTCTGTCGTTATGCTCGCCTCTTGGCCTTTTGTAAACGCTGCCTGCACAAAGAAGACAGCCTTGTCGGAAAATCGAAGAACAGAGTTTTACATTGAAGAGAGTCCTTATGTTCTTTTTGTTTTTTTTTTTTTGTCGCACATACATTTTTCCAAAAAAAAAATTAATACATTACATACATTCATTATTTTATATTACCTACACAATTCTCTATAATTCACATAAAAAAATATCAATTTTACAAAACAAACACACCATTCTGTCTTACTTTCATGTAAATATCGACATCGGCGTCGGGCTTAATGTTGGCCGCCTTTTCCCGTCTGGCCAACTCCAACAGCATATCTTAACAAACACAAATGTATATATGAGTCGATGAATTGGAAAGGTAAAGTTCGGACAAGAACAAGGAGGAGTGGCTAACCGTGGCTGCTGCCGACGCCCTGACATCTGGCGGAGAATGCGAGTGTTTCTCGGACAGTCATTTCTCCGATGTGGACATCGTTCTGGCTGATGTATGCTGCAGTTCTTTGTGGTATGAACTCCTTCATTCCATGTCCGTTGTACGTAACATTTCCTGAAACCTGATATAGATATATATATATATATATGTATACGTTCATCTTTATTCATATTTCTGATGAAATTAATATATGAATATTTTGAATATAAATTAACAATAAAGACTACAGAAATGTAGCATTAGTCCACAGACAATATCTACACTGATATAAAATAATGCATAAACAAATATAATTTAATAAATTTTATTATCAAACAATTATATTAATATTTATTACTCCACCATCTCTTGTGTATATATATATATTGATATATTATACAATTACCAATTAACATATGGAGAGACTGAGTCCTCAACAATATTTATTTTTCATTCAATATATTATACAAAAATTTTAAATATAAAAAAATATAACTTATTCTTTTATTTAATTTCAAAAATCACGCGGAAAACATTATTATAACTACTTTTAAACCTCAAATTCAAATGAATATATTTATAAAAAAAAAACATTCCAAATGTGTTTGTTATATATATATATATATATATTAATTTATTACTATTCTTATCATCTTTTAAATAACCCCGAATCACAATTTTTTTCGACGAGTTATATATATATATATATGTTGAAAATGAAAATAGTAAAGATGTCCATAGGCTTGACCTTGAGCTCGGGATCAATCATCCCGGCCAATGCCAGCAAAAACGTTGTCTTCCCTGAGCTCGGGGGGCCTAAAAGAAGCGTCATGCTGCAAAAAAAAATGTGAAGAACTATCAAAGGGATACAATAACTTTAGTAGATATCATAGCCCATCGACACGCAAAGTAATCTAATTTGGCGCGAATAATAGATGTGTACCGGCCTGGCTTTATGATTCCACTGACATCGTTGAGGATCGTTACCGGCTTCTTTCTACTTGGAAGAATATGAAAATAATTTGACAATCCCTTCACGACGAACACCCCGAAGGTTAGATTGAATTATTGTGAATGGATAATAGACTAAGAAAAAAAAATTAGAGCATACTTAATTTAAATTTTTTTTAAAAAAAAAAATTAAATAAGAAACAATAATTAAAATATCAATTATAGTTTTTAAGTTGACCTATTGATAGAAAGTCCTTGTTTGCATATATTTATTGCTAGCAAAGAAAAATAAAAATTGAACATTTCAAATAAAAATTAAACTTATAATTTTCTCACCTCCAAAATATTGGTGAAGAAGTTCACAAAAGAAGGCAGAGCCCGACTCCCCACATAAGCTTCTGTTTCGACTTTTAGATGCTCGAACCGAACCTCTATCGTTGGTAATTCTATCCCGACTCTTCAAAGAACCCAAAATATGGGTAAACGTATATAAACAAAATTGTGTCACTCAATTATAACGGAAACTTGTAAATTGGCTATCGAAAAATTTGTCGATTTTCACAAATTTACATATATATATATATATATTTCGAAGGCTGAAGGGGCAATCAATGAAACTAATATAAACTTTATTATTTTTTTTACTTTAAAAAGAAAAAACGTGAGGATTGGAATGACAAATTAATGAAAACTATATAGTTTTATTACATTTTACACTAAATATATAGGCAAGCAAAAATAAAAATTCTAGGATTGAAACGCCAAATGAATAAACTTATTTCTTTCATCTGCCTCTAAGGTCACATCTATTTTTTTCGTTATTGTACTTAACATTAAAAATATTCTTATATTTGTATAATTTTTTGTACAAATGCATTTCTATTAGTATTATAAGACACTAATTAAAGTATTTTTGCAATTTTTTCTTAATTTGTACTACGTGTTGATATAATAATTGGTATTAAAAGATCAAACACTCAAAAAGTAAATGAGACCGTTAGAGCCGGACGGATATAGTATAATTTATCATTCCTTATACTAAAATATATATTTTTTGGGTAGTTGCCCCTAACCCTCAAATACTTCGGTCTCGGATGAAATGTTTTGAAGCTTCAAAAATTTTTAATTAATTAAACAACGGTAAAAAATAAAATAAAATAAAATAATACAAAAGTTTGGAACAGAGAGAGTATATAATCAATAGCAAAATATGTGCGGCCGTTAGTTACCTATCAATTCGATTTTTGAGCTTCAACAAAAACTTCTCATTATCGTCTTGCGCAACCCTCACAAGCCTCTCGAGCAGCTTGGTCCGGTCGTGCAAGCCGAGGTCTTGCACGTCGACCTCATCGGCGGCGCCTCGCGATCCCACAAGGATGCCTTTTCTTAGGCGGTCAAAAGTCGGGAGCCGCTCAAGGGCAGCCCACTTTAGGGCCTCCTCGTCATCCTCGTCCCTCGACGAGCCCGAGAACAGCTCGATCCCATTGTTCCTCCAGGCCGAAGCAGTTCTTCGGAAGCTACTTCCGATCTCCATGCATACGATCGATCGAGGATATTCGGACAAGTTTAATTAAGAATAAGAAAATTTAAATAAAAAAAAATACAGAACCCTGAGATTGATGAGCACTGTCTAAGAAAGACAATCCAATCTTAAATGACACTAAATGCAAAACGGCGGACAAGAGAGACTATATATATAGAAGAGACGTGGCAAGAATCCGATCTTTATCTAATGAATTATTATTTTTCTTATTATTGTATTATATATATATAGATATAGTTATTATACATGTATGGATAACGTGTTAGTTACTGTTATAGGACGGTATGATATGCCAAAAAATTTATGTTGTATTATACTCGCCCCATCCTCAATAAAGTATTCATTTAGAAAAATTATTATTAGTCAATAATTAAAAATATATATTAATTAAAGTAATTATGGTATAGTATAAATAATGATAGACTAAAATTAAAATAATTAATTAATTAAAATTTAAAAATTATAATTTATAAAATTTTAAATGTGATTAAATTATATAATTATTTTTAAAAAAATAAATAAATTATGCGAGACCGATAGATATAAAAATATTTGACAATTTATATGAGACTGGGAGAATGTATTATATTTAGGGATATCAACCGGGCGGGTTCGGGATGGGTTCTGCAGGCCCCGAGACCCGCCCCGCCTCACTTCTACCCGGCCCCAGGACCCGCCCCGCCCCGAACCCTCCGGATTCGGAGCCAACCCGGCAAACCCGTTTTTTTAAAAAATATATAATAATAAATATTTTTTTAATACTCGAATACTAAAACAAATAGCATTAAAAGCACAAAAAAAAATCTAAAAACAATCAAATATTGATCCATAAAAATAAGATAAATAAATAAATAATATATTTTTATTATATAAATATACATATATTAGGTATAATAATTTTTAAAAATTATTTGGAGCAGACGACTAATTGAATTTTATATTTAAAATTATTTAAGTAAATAAATAATATATTTTTATTATATAAATGTATATATATATTAGTTATAATAATTTTAAAAAATATCCGGATTCGAGTCCGGGTCCGGGTTGAGGCGGGTTTTTAGTAAAACCCGTAACCCGACCCAAACCCGACCGGATTTAAAATTTTAAATCCACGAACCGTCCCGAAACATATTATTTAGACCCGAACCTGCCCCATTAAAAGCGGGTCCGGGGCTAACCCGCCCCATTTGACATCCCTAATTATATTGTAAATATTGGTATGAGAAAATATTATATAGATATTGTAAATATTGGTATGAGAAAATATTATATAGATATTGTATACAAAAAAATCAATATATCGAAATTTGCAGTAGAAATATTTTTATAGTAATGCTGCATTAATTCATTTTTCAGTGTTGTAACCTATAGAAAAAAATTATATCAAAATTAATGGTGTACAAAATATACTAGAATTAGTGGTGTACAGAAAAATTACTAGTATATATACTATAATACCTATAATACCGATATAATATCAATATATACAACTATCATGGTATATATCAGACTTTACATTAAAAATATACCATAATATATAGAATTTTATTATCTCTCCGTCCCAAAGTATCCATTTTTTCATTTTAGTCCGTCTCATAACAAAGTATTCATTTTCTTTGTTAGTAACTGTACTATCTACCTAATATTACAAATACCCTTACAACTTACAATATATTACACAAATGTCATTACTTTTATATCACACATACTAATAAGGTTATTTTAGTCATTTCTATTTTATTCCTACTATATTCTAATATAATACTAATATTTTTAAAACTACGTGCAAAAAGCAAATGGATATTTACTTATAGAACGGAGGAAGTATTGTTTTTTCATCCTAGTTGATTCATTAAATTAATCGGTACATATTAAATCAAAATAATTAAAAGTTAATATAAATAGTTAAAATTAAATAGAAGTATATCTATATGTTAACATATATTTTTTATATTCAATTATCCAATTATATTTACTTTTATCTCAATTTGCAAAAATGCTATCACATACGTTCCTCACGTGTAAAGGGATATATATTATCATACGAATTTTGCACGTGGACAACGACAATTGAAAGCAGTGGTATTTGAACACGAGATTTATGGCTATTATACCATTTTAGATTGTTAGATTTCGTAGAAAAATTATAAAATTGTATTATTCTAAAAAAATAAGACTATACAGAAATATATATACACGGGTTTGGGCTTAAATTAAGATAAATAATACAAGATATATTGGATACACATCATTGAATAGGTATTATATCAAATATATTAAATAATGAACTAAATAGAAAAAGTAGTGACAAATCGATTATTATATATTAAAATAAGAGTAATAAAATTGTGATGAATTAAATATTTGAATAAATTATGCATAAATATAGCTGATAAAAATATATGCATGACATAATTGCAGAAGAGGAGGTATTAAATTATTACTTTTACTTTTTTATCCTTTATTTAATAACGACATTATTAATTAACAGTTTTTGGTAAAATTCGACAGTACCGAAAATTATCCAATCTAATTGTTTCGACCTGTGGAGGGGAAGTAATTAATAAGCAACAGATAAATTTGAGGGGGTCACAAACTAAATTAAAGCCACCTCATTTTACACGCGCATTGGAAAATAAAAATAAAAATAAATTAAATAAAGTAATTTGTAGGGTGAGTCTAATATTTATTATCTAATAGTAGAATCTACCTAATTAATATATACTAGCTAGTATCTAATACCTATTAATTTACTATATTATTATTATTATTATTATTATTATTATTATTATTATTATTATTATTATTATATAGTTAAGTGTCTACCCAAAGCTTAGCCAATGTGTGATGATCTGATAATCTATATTTTAGGAAGAACAAAATTCAACGGGTCTGTATCTCATAGACATATTCATACATATCTTTAGTAACACCACACTAGATTTTATTTTATTTTATTTTATTTAAACACTGTTGAGGATTTCAAGAAACTAAGCCACCGCCTCCTGTAGTATTTTCTTTTCTTTTTTTTTTTCTAAGTTTCAAGATATGTTGATGAATAAATTAATAACCCTCTCCAAATAATAATAATAATAATAATCAGATTTTGAATTTGAGGTTTGCAACGACAGGGTGAGTCTGTTCATGTAGCATTAAGTAGAAGGATTATTTTGTAAAGATTACTAAAAATATACAATTTTTCAACCGAATTTAATAGGTTATGACACTGGAGGTTTAGAGGGTTTGATGTTATGATTTGATTGTCACGAGTTTATTTCGTATCGCCAGATTATTTCTTACGAAATAATGAAAAACATTTTGTAATATATAATTAGTACTTTATTTTTCCTTATAGCCAAACAAGTTGACAATATATAATTAGTACTTTATTTTTCCTTATAGCCAAACAAGTTGACGGCCGCAGTTAGGGTGTTGATTGGGTCAAATCACCGTAATATTAATTTTATCCAATCAACATGTCGGACAATTCATGTTTTTATATAGTACAATATATATTGTGTTGTATAAAAACATATGTTGTCCAATTTATATATTGTATTGCACTGTATAAATATATTTATTATCATAAAATCAATAATACTTCATCCGTCGCAAAAAAGTTATTTAGTTTTTTTTTTTTATTTTTGTCCGTCTTAAAATAATTTTCATATTTTTTTATTTAGTAATCGTGGTAAACTGTTTTTTTAGTCTCGTAAGTGGAGTCTGTCGCAAACTAGTCTCATAAGTGAAAAATTTTCGTTATTTTAGTCCTCCGGCGCCGGAAACGCCCGTATGGCTCACCGGAGGCTACGTGTCCGCCAGGTCAGCGACACCTAGCGGACATGTGAATTTTATTATTTTTTTTCTTTTTTTTTAAAAAAAATTATTTAAAATTTACTTTTAATTTTATTTGTCTTTTATAATTTTTTTATTTAGTCCAATTGAAAAAAAAAAATTAAATCCACGTGTCCGTCAGGTGTCGCTGACCTGGCAGGACAGGACACCTGACGGACATGTGGCTTCCGGCGAGCCACGCCGGCGTCTCCGGCGCCGGAGAACTAAAACAACAAAAAAAAATCATTTATGGGACCAGTTTGCGACATACTTTACTTGCTGAACTAAAATGATAAGGGAGTCAGTTACGAGACTAAAAAAATAGTTTACCCTATTTATTTATTTAGTTACCGTGGTCCTCACTATATAACAAAATTAACTCTATTTTTTCCACAACTACCGATGATTATTACTTTAATCTATTTTTTTTCAATTTGATTATTTATATTTTACTTTATAAACACTTTCAATTCAATATTATTATTTCTTAAATTTTGCGGCCACTCTCAACAAGACACCTCTTTTGCGACGAAAGAAGTATATTGTTTTACATGAAATTATATCATGTGTCGTATATTGTATTATCCTATGCTACTAAATATACATATTATATACATGTATTGACGTGATCAAATCAGCATTATTGATTAACCGAAGCACAAATTTTGTTATAATTAAAATTCGATATCGATCACAATCAATGTTCTATTAAATTATATGAAATGTTCTATTTATATATATAAAAAGAGTAATTGACATGGGAGTCCATTTAGATTGAGATCAATTATTGAATCATGAATAGAAGAAGAAAAATTGACTTTTAGAGCCCCCAACTGTTGATGACTTAAAAAGATGATAACATTCTTAACGTCACAAGGAGATAATGTTGCATATTGACCGACGGGAATTGCCGTACAACTTACAAACCACTTCAAGCTGCAATGACATAAAATGGTGTTTTTTTTTTTTTTTTTTTTCTCTTTTGGATTGTGAAGATTTTATTTGTTTTTTTCTTAATTTAAATAATATTTTTTTAGAAGAAAAAAATATATTTCAATTGTTCACAAAATTATATTTGTTTGGTTCAATACAGACTCTAAAAAATAATAATAATTTTAATATAAAATTAGTAGGATAGATAAAAAATAAAAAATAAAAATAGAATATTATATTAAATTTATTAAATAATTAATTAAAAAAATAATGAGATAAGTAGAAAAAATAGTATTATTTGTTGAAATAGGAGTAATAAAATTATTGGTGGTAAATTATGTAT